TAATTGTCGTATAAATTATCAATTTGAAGTTAAATATGTATAATCTTTACAGAGAAATGGACGAAGCGAGTGAGAAAGATAAAGAATTGAAGAAAAAGAATGTTTCTCCCTCGGTTTCTCCCGAGGGTTCTTCTCTAGTTTCCCAAGTTACCAATAATGAACGACAATGTAATTTCTGGAATATACTAGAAAGGGATAGCGGAGCATACATATCCCCAACTATTAAAAACATTATGCGTTTAAATAACATGGACAATCCTCTTTCATTTCGGAACATTACGGAAGATGTATTAAAAGAAATCGAAATCTTTGCTCAAACTGTGATGATATCTTTTATCGAACCCAACTCCAATATGAGGGACTATTTCGGAATATTTCACAACATGCCTGAAAAATTTCGTTTTATGATTGGAGACAGACATCTAATCTTGGAGCTGGTTAAAATGGTTAAACAAGCACCGAAGGATTATTGGAAGTTACCATCGACAGACTGCGAAGAATTTGGAGAACCGTCTTGTAAAAAACGAGCACTTTCTAAACCCGAAGACAAGCACATTTTAAAATCCGAGAAAAAATCTGAACTACATGAAAAGAAGAATCCTAATATCAGGGAAGAAATTAATAAATTAACAAAGCTTGTTAAATCTTTCAGTCAAGACGAAAATCTAAATAAAAAATTGCGTAACTTGTTGAAAGGATACGTACAGATCGAAGTTTCAATTAAGGAAATTTATGATGGAGAAACTTACCCTCAAGGATTTACATATGTTGCTGGAATTACTTGTCCATCGTGTTTATTTGTGACCAATATCACAAAATGTGGAACAACAAAAGGTAAAAGTTCCAGATGTATAATTTCCAACTTTAAAAGACACATTTTCCAACACCAGAAATCTACTGAACTTACTGAAAAGCGAGACAAATCCTCAAGTAATGTTCTTCACTTGCTGCAAGCGTCCGCCAAATCACCCGCTCTTCAAAAGGAAACAAACTACGATTCTAACAGCAATGTAATTGGAGATGTAATTGCTGAATACACCATAGTGGATGATGAGTTGCTGCTTTCAGAAGGTACCGATGTCTCCGAGGATCTCTCCATCACTTCTATTATTTCAATGCCAGTTGACTCTACAAATACAAATATGTTGATAGTTTCTCCAAAGGAACCTGAAGCCTCAACTTCAACATCGCAGTCAACTGTCATCAAAAAAGGATAATATACAAGATGGAACGGCGACGGGGGAATGCTAACCCGAGATGATTATCGAACGAATCATCTCGTGGGAAAATTAATTTCTATAACAAATGTTCGACCCAAGATTCAATCACGTAGTTCTTTGCGCCAAACACGCTTGGCAAGAAAAAAGCGAAAATTGTTTTCGGTAGATGAGTTCCAACCGCGAACTTCTATGTACTTTCCGGTTCTTAATCAATTACAGATAGAACTTCAAAAAAATAAAGAATTAAGTAATGCTTTAAAACTTTTTTTGGAAAAGTCGAGCAATAATTCTAATAAAGAAATTTATCCGGCATCAACCGTAACACAATCTTCGTTTTTAAAATCTTTAGTAGATACTGCTAATAAAAACACAGGCAAAAAGAAGGGTGCTCGGTATGATGATACCCTTAAGCTGTTTGCAACTTATCTATACATTATAGGGGGTAGAATGCTATACGAAACGTTGTGTACAAATTTGCCACTGCCTTCGTTAAGCACGGTAAGCCGTACTTTAGATGACTCAAGTGCAATAATAATTGAAGGCGATATTCGTGTTGCAGAATTAGTAAATTTCTTACAGTCAAGAAATTTACCTACAGTTCTATGGCTTAGCGAAGACGCAACCAGAATAACAGGTCGGGTACAATATGATTCTAAAACGAATCAACTTGTAGGCTTTTCCTTGCCATTAGATGAAAATGGCATGCCTATAAAAAGTTCTTTTACGGCTACTTCTGCAAAACAGATTGAGGAGTATTTTATTAATAATACAGCAGCTAATTTATTGTACGTAATTATAGCACAGCCATTAGTAAAAAATGCTCCTTCATTTTGCCTATGTTTATACACTTCTGATAACAAATTTACAGCTGATGATGTAATTAAGCGTTGGAATTATATGATTCAAAAATTAAAAGACGCTGGCATAACAATACTTGGCATTTCTTCTGATGGAGATCCGAGGTTACTTAAAGCAATGAAAATATCGTCAAACATTGGCATTATTAGGAAGGCAAGAGAAAGGCAAACAATTTCACCAGTATTAAAATTGGATTCAAATCCTAACTCGATTATGTTGAATACGTCTTTCATTCAAGACACTGTGCATATTGGCACTAAATTGAGAACAAGACTTCTAAAGAATTCTATCGTATTGCCAATGGGTAGTTACATTGCTTCAGCAAGTCATTTAAAAATTCTTTACGAAATTGTGTCTAAAGATAAACACTGTTTAAATCAAAAAGACTTATCACTCAAGGATAAAATGAACTTTGATGCTGTCATAAAAATATCTCATCCAAGAGTGCGCGAGCTCTTAAAAACTAATGTCCCTGGAAGTGACGCTACAATAGCATATTTAAATATTATTCAT